GACTGAAAGAACAGTTTCTTGCAATTTCCTTCCTTCAGCAGTGTATATCTCCATATTGCAGATATACACCATCCGCTCTCGCACACCATCCGAACAAGTAAACCGTATTTTGCTATTTCTGCTGGGTTGTACGTGCAAAATTTGAAAGTCCTCTCCATGGAATCATTCCCTCGTCCAAAGACAACTGTTGCTTTGGTTTGTATATTGTTCGAAATTTATGCAGGAAATAATCCAGCACAGGTTGGATCTTGAAAAGTCTCCCCGAGCGACTGTCCATTTTGGCGTTATCATTGAAATGCCAGAATGTCCATATTTGCTCAAATCTATGGTGACTCATTGTCTGTGGAAATATAGGGGTACATATCAAAGGATCTGTTGACCAATAGTCTTTCAAGCTATCTTTTCTTGTTTGACCCATCAGAATAATTAGGCCAAGGAATTTCTTGATGTCCTTCTGTGTAACCGGAGACCACTTTAGTGTTCTAGATGGTGTTTTGCGGTTCATTGCGGTTTGATCGTGATAGTTGGACAGCTCTTTGCATAACAGCTCAAACAATTCATCACCAAAAAGATTGGTCACAGAGGGTACAGAGTCACACTGAGACAGAAATGTAGTGACCCCAGCATGACCTTCAAACATTTGTAAGCCTGGTAGTGAGTCAATTTCAGACCAACAATTATCAGTGGCTTCATCAGCCACTTGAAAGCACTGCCACCTTGCGCTTCCTTACAGGTCTAATAATTTCCCTGTCAGAATCAGTAGAATCGTCTCTGGAATTGTCAAAACAGTCATCCGCATCTTCAGTCTCACTAGGAATATCTGATAAATTATCATTAAATACTTCCGGAAGTGTATCAGTTTCATTGGTTTCCTTCCTTTTTCTGAGAGGGCATTTCTAAAAGTGCCAGGAACTTGAAGACGAAGACTATTCGAATGACCAAAATACAATGTAACTGCAATGCTTTATGGGTTCATGCGATTATATAGTTTTTCGTAGATTGACCTGTACGGTTTCCACCAATGAGATCTTCGGACCATAGGTTCAAGCTCACAACCACAGCTGTTGGCTATAATTGTGCTGAAAGGGCCCTGCCCTCCAGCTGGGACTTGCACGTGGCAGTGAGCGGACCCTGTCCTCTCATTAGTCCGAGGCTTGAACCTGGCCAAAACACTGTAGCCGTGTCCCACAGTGGACAAGACAGTGTGTTGACATCTAAGTTCCATAACAGATAGCGCGCTAAACACGAGAGAACTGGTGAGCGGTCCTTAACAGATGGGGCGCAAAACACGAGAAAGCTCGTGAGCGGTACGCAATGTGTTAAGCAAAACATCTTTCAGAAATTGTTATTAGAACTTTTGGTCACTAGAGGGTGCTGGTGACCAAAATTCAGAAATTCATACTTTTTCTGCTCTAACATCAGAAAGTACTAAACAGACACCTGGCCTGGTAACTATGTTGTGGGTCCGGGCATAGACTCGGGTGGCAGGTTCAGTCCCTGGTTGGTTCCCAAAGTGAGAAAAAGAAGCGGCCTATGGATGTTTCTCTTACAGATGTTTCTGTCTCTCGCTCTCCCTCTCTCAAATCAGTATTTTTAAAAGATGCCAAACAATCCAACTGCCAGTGTCCTGTTTGTGTGAATCCTCAGATCCCCCAAATCACTGTTGCAATGTGAATAGCTGCAAAACAGACAAAAATAGAATGAAGGAAAACACTGAAAGAAGGAAAGTGTTACATAAGAGATCTAATGGCGCATTCGTTGGAGTTGAGTAAAGGGGTTAACATTAATTCTTGGATACTATATGGACCGATGTTTGTTCCTATTATAGGAAGTCCAATTGGCTACAGCATGCATTGCAATGGAGAATTTTATTTTTTTAGGTTAGGATTTAACATTTTTATATTTTTAAAGAACTTTAGATTTTATTTTTCAATTACAGTTTTCAATAGTATTTTGTAACAGTTTCAGGTGTACAGCATAGTGGTTAGACAATCATATACTTTACAAAGTATTTCCTCTAATATTTTTAATACATAGTTATTGCAATATTATTGACTATATTTCCTATGCTGTACCTTACATCCCTGCGATTATTTTTTAACCATCAATTTGTAAAGGGATTGTACTTCTAATTCCTCTATCTCTTTCACCCAGCCCCCCAACTTCCCTTCCCTCTGACACCATCAGTCTATTCTCTGTGGCTATAAGTCTTTTTCAATTTTGTTTGTTCGTTGAGAAAGTAAAATTTTAAAGAAGTCTCATTCATAAATAAAGAATAATTCAGCTTTGCTTTCATAGCTATATAAATCATGAAAAGGTCTTACATTTTTAAGATATATAATTAAAAAAAATTTATTGCTGAAAATTAAATTTAATGTGTATTTTCTTTGGATGAAGTGTATCTCTAAGAATGCCATCAAATATTTTACTTTTCAAATGACATTCTAGAAAAATACTTTCTCATTTTGGGAGTTAAGAATAATCCAAACTAGTAAGACAAAAGTCTAGTGACCACTTAAAAAGCAAACCACTTCACTATTTTTTCCTTGCTATTGTTCTCATTAGAAATGTGACATTTAAAAAAAAAAATTGAAAAGTGTAAGAAATTTTTCATATGGTAGCAAATCACAAATGAAATTGGTAATGGGATTAATTCATGTTAAAATGGCGTTTAAGTTATATTTTGGCTTTTCTTCTTTAAAAAATATAGCATCTTATAAAGATATTTTTTTCAAACTCGCAGAATGAAAATAGTACAGAAAGAATGCAGGAGAACATATTCCATTCTCATCATCTACCACTCATTTACATTCTCCAAGGATACCAACTAGAAAAGACAAACTGATATGACCAACTCTAAAAGTCTTATCTGAAGTCTGAATCATGGTCTTCATAGTTCTGATTAGATCTAAGGTACTAAATATGAAGAAAAATGAAGTTTGAACATAATTTTTACAATCTTTTCATGGAGAAACTCAAAAAAGCCTTTTCTAGATTTGGCAACAACTGGTCTTAACATTGATTTTCATCGGCTGAGAGGGTTGATGGTATCCATGTGAAGAGCTCTGTGCTATGAGAAGAGACGGGAATTGCTGAAAGACCTTGGGCATATGTTTTAACTTATGGAGCCTCAGTTACCTCACCATAAAAGGGAGTAATCATAATAGCAAGGGGACCTTGGAGGATCTCTGATAAAATGAGAAAATACTTGTGAAAACGAAATATTGTCTTAATAAAACACTAGGCAATCATGCCCATTTCACTAAAAGGCGAAGGCTTTCCTAACATCTAAATACCGTTTCCAGTCTTAACTTAGAAGAATGGTTGGAGGCTTTGTGAGCGCAAGCCTCCCTCCTGCGCCCCCGCCCCCACCCTCACCCCCATTTCCCACAGCTAGCAGCAGTTGACTGCAGGATCTCAGGTATGCAAGAGGAGGCCACCGCCTCTAGCCACTTTGGCTGACTTTTCTCTGACTTGTTTATAAGAGGAGATGGAATTTAGTTGGGAGGTGGGAGCTGGGATATCTTCATTTCTTAATTCGACCATCAGATTTTATTTTGTTTCCTTGTACCTATCTCCTTGGGTCCCAAGGCACTACTAGTTTTAGAAGCTTCAGTGCACCCCAGGGGGACAGAGCAGCCTGGCCTGCTCGCGATCATTCCAGAGTCCTGAAGTAGGAAGGAAAAAAGTTCACACTCAGCTTTGCAAAGGCGTGTGGTTTGCCTAGAATACTTTGGGACGGGTGAGTTACACCTGCCAGGGATACAAGAGATCTTCAGGGGGAGGATCCAGCCCCTGCGGGTGGAGACGGAGGGCGGGCGCTTTCCGCGCGCCTTGGCAACTAGCCTGGGGCTGGGGAGCCCAGCAAGACATTTCAGCCCCCTCCACCCCGGACGCTCCTCTGGCAGAGACAGGCGGAATCGCAGAGCGGGCAGGGCGTCCGGTCCGGCCAGAAGCCGGGAGTTTCGA